GAAGTGGCAAGGACTGAAACAAGGAGGAGTATTTGAAAAAGATTAATGGCAATGTATTTTTTAGTATAACACATTTTTTTAAAAAAAGTAAACATTCACTGTATTTTCGATCATATTGCATAACTAGGCAAGGCCCGGAAGATCGTAAACCTCATTTTGCAGATATGAAAACCGAGGTCTAGCAGAGTTTGTCTCCGCTCAAGCTCAGTCAGCAGGTGGGCCTGGAAGAAAGCCAGGTGTGCTGTCTCCGTACCAGGTGACAGTTTGGCTTGGGGTTTGCTCTGCCGTCTCCTGCTGCTCTGGCTTCCTCTGCTGCAGTTTCCACAGCTAAGCCTGTGTTCACAATCAGATCCCATCCAAGCTCAGGGAGGTCTAAAGTGTCCACACCTGCTCCTCATAGCCCCCTGCTGACCCAGCTCGAGAGCTGAGGGCCAGTGAGCAACGGACAAGGAAGGGCCGGGTAAGCGAGGGCAGTGTGTGGTTCTGAACCTTTCGACCACCTCTCACACGGCTGCTGGCGCTGACTCTGCTCCGCAGCATTCCCAGCCGGAAGCAGAGCCGCGGCCCCAGGGGAGGCAGGGCAGGCCATCGCCACATGGCCATCTGGAAGCCAGTAACATGGACTGCCCCTCGGGCTGGGGAACAGGAGCGGACAGGGGCGAGACCAGGATGTGTGCTGCCCAGAAGGCCGGTCTTCTGAACATGCCGTGGTGCCGTGACACCCGAGCAGCTGTGTCCTAGTGGCCTCGTCACCACTTGCAGCTTTGTTGTAAGAGTTGGGGCCCCCAGGATAAACCAAGCCGCCCCTCTGAGCCCTGAGCCCTGCACTTCCGGACACCGACTACCAAGCCCTGCAGCAGACTGCACGGGGGGTCGAGACCCAGTCAGGATGGAGGCCACCTAGGGAGAGGGCCCACGCTGCCACCCGCCACCGCCCTGGGCAGATGCTCACATCTCCTCTCTGGGCCCTGAACAAGGACATGATGAGCCCGATCCTGAGGTTCCTACAGCTTCTGGGAGTAAACAGGAATCAAGATACCGGGAATCATGGGGAAGGAGAACATTTTATTTCATTTTCATTCAGCATTTAGTGACTTCTTTCCCTGTGTCAGGTATTGTAAGGTAAGGCCCAGGGGCTGCAGAGATGCCTGAGCACCACACCCTGCCCAGGGAGTGCTCCAGGCTATGGCAGTGGTGGGCACAGCTGAGGGGTGCAGAGGGGCCGGAGCACGGGTCTGACTGGTTCAACCCGCAGGAGACAACACAGCAAGAGCAGCTGCCTGGACTGGGGGTCAGGGAGGCCGGGTCAC